TGGCAGAAAGCAGAAAGATATATAAGGCGTGAAGATCAGAAACTAGCAGCATTTGGCTGGTTAAGCTTTCAGGCTTTCGAGCAGCAGTTCAGCTGAGATTCATTCTGGATGAGGACTCAGAGGCTTCCAGTCTGAGGAAACAGGATCAGCTGAGGAACTAGCAAGGTGAGGTAGCTGTGGCTTGTTCTGCTTCTCTGATCTTCCAGCATTCACCCCAATACCAGGCCCTGAGTTTGTTTTATTGATAAGACTCTTTAAGATTCCTGCTACAAAGGGTAATCTCTATTGTGACTCACCATTAAGTGGATGCATCTTGGTTTGAACTTGGATTTGAATAATCACACAACAGTGTGCACCCATCTACATCCATCTTCTTTCATAACACATTGTATATTTGAGATTCATTCAGATCATACATTGTTGAGTATGGTGTTATTTTTTTTATTACAGGCTAGTATTTCACTATATAATGATACAACCATTTATTTAATCTATTGTAGACAAAGGCTTAAGAGTGCATTAGTCATTACAAAAAAGGCTTCCACAGGTGATCAGGCCTCATTTCTCCTCTCAGTCCATATCATTTGTACAAAAGAATGCATTTCATTATGACGTTTCCATACCTGCATCTAGTGTACTTTGACCTTTCTTATCCCTTTCCTCCTCTTCCCTTCCCACTAATCTCCTCAATAGGCTCCTCCTACTTTCATGTCCTTTTATAAAATCTAGATTCTACATGTGAGAGAAAACATGGCATTTCTCTAAGTCTGGTGTCATCTGATTTGACCTCTGATTCCACCCAGTTTCCTGTAAATGACACATGATTCTTTACTATGTCTGAAGAAGCCCCACCGTGTACATAGATACCACTGATGGGTATCTGTGATGATTCCATAACTTGATCATGTGTCAGTGCCAGAGAGAACATGAGTATACGTCTGTCTACCATATATTCACTTTGATTCTTCTGGTCTATATCCAAAAGATCATCACTCATCACTGTCCCCTCCCCAGGAATAGAACCACTATTTGTATGTTTAGTCTAGAAAATACCATCACACAGCTCCCCAAAGCATTTATACCAATGGCCACCCCACAAATAATGTGACAAATGTGGAGTTTCTCTGCATCTTTGCCAACACATGTGATTGTTACATTTAAAAAAAAAACCTGCCTGCTGACTGCACCCTTGTGTCTATATTTAATTATTACTACAGATGATAATGTTATAGAAGCTTCTTACTTTCATAAGATTCCAGTGTCAATGCCCTACAGTCTTACAAAATGAGCAGTGACAGTCCCCTCCTTGTTACTATCTTACAGATGAAGAAACAAGGCTCAGAGATGTCAAGCAGTTTGTCCAATGTCATGGTCTGTCATTCAGTGGAGACAGTGATTTTGTATAGCCACCTGCCTTCAACTATGACACTGTAAGGTTTTACCACTCACAGTTAACCAGCAGTTCTCTGAGCTCAGGACTTCTCTTTAGTTTATTGGTATTACATGAATAAAGTGAATTAAAACATAAAATTGGCATTGCTCTATACACAAGAAGCTTATAATTGATTGGTTACAATATAATGATTAAGAGACATTATCATTTTTCATCTGAATCACAAAGAATAGAATTCCAGATCCACAGACTCAGAAGCATCCACATATGTAGCCCTGTGAAATGACTCTTTATAAATACTGACAGACTGAAAGTGGAACTCCTCCCTTTGGAGGCTGTTTTTAAACTCATTTATTTTTAACTATCACTAAGTAACCTTAAGCACATCAAAAATATTGGGGGAATGTGCTCAGAGTATATTTTATACTGGCATGGGAATAGTGTTATATAACCCTGTATAATACAAACTAATTGAAAAACAAGAATAGAAAACAAGTCAAGTTTGGGCTCTTAAATCAACCAGATTCCAACTATATACTTTGCACACAGAACACCCCCCCCACAGTGGGCATCTTTGTTGGTATTGTTTTATAATTTCATCCTTTATGCAATAAGCCAATAATATGAATAATAAGAAGCGGTGGTACAGGAAAGACAGGAAGGAAGGAGGGGAAAAGGGAGGGAGAAAAGGAGGGAGGAAGGATGGATGATAATGGCAATGTGAGTGTGCATGCACAGCAGCCGAGAGCAGCTTCAGGCTGCTTATTAAAGATTATATGATATTTCTTTTTTATTTAAAATTTTTTTTATTCATTTTACATACCAACCACAGACCTCCCTCTCATCCCTCCTCCCACTCCCCCCCCCACCTTCTGCCCCCTCATCCCTTCCTCCAACAGGGTAAGTTCTCCCACGGGGATACAGCAAAGTCTGGTACATTGTCAAGATAGGACCAAGCCCCCTGCTTCATCAGGGGTGAGTAGGTATCTGACCATAGGTAACAGGATCCAGAAAGCTGGCTCATGCACCAGGGATAGCTCCTGATCACACTGCCAGAGGCCCCTCAAATAGACCCAGCTACACAACTGTCTCCCATATGCAGATCTAGTCCAGTCCCATGCAGGTTCCACAGCTGTCAGTCTGAAGTTCATGAGTTCCAATAAGCTTGGTTCAGTTGACTCTGTAGATTTCCCCACCATGAACTTGACCCCCCTCCCTTGCTCATCATATACAATCCCTCTTCCCTCTCTTCAACTGGACTCCCAGAGCTCAGCCTGGTGCTTGGTTGTGGATCTCTGCATTTGCTTCCATCAGTTACTGGACAAAGGCTCTATGAAGACAGGGTATTTACTAATCTGATTACCAGGGTAGTTTAGGCACCCTCACCACTATTGCCAGTAGTCCAATCTGGGGTCGTCCTTGTGGATTCCTGGGAACTTCCCTAGCACCTGGTTTCTCCCTATCCCCATAATGTCTCCCCCTATCAAGATATCTCTTTCATTACTCTCCCACTCCATCCCTCTCCCAGCTCAACCATCCTGTTCCCTTATGTTCTCATCCCCTATCTCCTCCCCTCTATTGCCCCCCATCCCCAGTTTAATCATGGAGATCTCCTCTATTTCCCCTTCCCAATGGGATCGTATGTCCTTTTTAGGCTCCTCCTTGTTTCCTAGCTTCTCTGGAGCCATGGGTTGTAGTCTGATTATCCTTTGCTTTACATCTAGTATCTACTTATGAATGAGTACATACCATGTTTGTCTTTCTGAGTCTGGCTTGCCTCACTCAAGATGATATTTTCTAGTTCCATCCATTTGCCTCCAAACTTCATGATGTCACTGTTTTTTACAGCTGAGTAAAACTCCCTTGTGTGAATGTACCACATTTTCTTTATCCATTCTTCAGTTGAGGGGCATCTAGGTTGCTTCCAGTTTCTGGCTATTATGAATAATGCTGCTATGAACATAGTTGAGCAAGTGTCCTTGTGGTATGATTGAGCATTCCATGGGTATATGACCAAGAGTGGTATCATTGGGTCTTGAGATAAATTGATTCCCAAATTTCTGAGAAACTGCCATACTGATTTCCAGAGTGGCTATACAAGTTTGCACTCCCAAAAACAGTGGAGGAGTGTTCCCCTTGTTCCACATCCTCTCCAAAATAAGCTGTCATCAGTGGTTTTGATCTTAGCCATTCTGACAGGTTTAAGATGGTATCTTAGAATTGTTTTGACTTGCATTTCCCTGATGACTAAGGATGTAGAGCAATTTCTTAAATGTCTTTCAGCTATTTGGGATTCTTCTGTTGAGAATTCTCTGTTTAGATCTGTAGCCCATTTTTAAATTGGATTGTTTGGTATTTTGCTGTCTAGTTTCATAACTTCTTTATATATTTTGGAGATCAGCCCTCTGCCAGATGTGGGGTTGGTGAAGCTCTTTTCCCATTCTGTAGACTGACTTTTTGTCTTATTGACTGTGTCCTTTGTCTTACAGAAGCTTCTAAGTTTCAGGAGGTCCCATTTATTAATTGTTGCTCTCAGTGTCTGTGCTACTGGTGTTATATTTAGGAAGTGGTTTCCTGTGCCAATGTGTTCTAGGCCACTTCCCACTTTCTCCTCTATCAGGTTATTTCACCATTATCTCAGGACATCACCTCAGAAACTGCTGGGAGTCGTACTGAATTAGTCACTATCTGTGTCATCGGGCATGTGTTTCAGCAGATACATGGCCAACTGCAAGGGAATCTGATTACTTTTTATGCTATCAGAAACCACAGATGACACACTTAAGCAATGACATCTCCAAACCACCAGGCCTTGGTGTGCCCTAGGAATATCACTATCACTCAAGATGACTGTTCCTGGGTGTTCTGGTCACTCCGCAGTGAGTGTGCCATGACTGCCCACTTTGCGAGAATCTATTCTTAAAAATTCATTTGTTTCATTTGATGGGTCTAAAACGATTTAACACCTTAACATCTGAAGAGATCATACAATGTTTTAGCAGATGGTTAGATAAGGCACCCACCATGCTCAATGCAGTTTCTGCTACATTACATTGCAGATCAACTTGGTTTCTAGAACTAAAAAAAAAAAAGCGGGAAGCTGGAGACATGACTCAGTGTGTAAAGTGCTGACTGTGCAACATGAGGACCTGAGTTCAAATCCCAAGTACCCATATAAAAAAAGCTGAATGTAGGAACCCCGGTCTGCAACCTGAGTCCTCCTGGCAGAATGGGAGGTGAGGCAGGAGACTCAGAGGCCAAAGGGCCTGGCATATTCAGCAGAGAACATCTATCCAACCTCAGACAAGGTGAAAGGAAAGGACTGACATCAAAAAGGCTGTCCCACACCCAAGCTGTGGCATGCACACACCTGCACACACCTGCACTCACATACACACAACTGATATAAATAAATACTACGTGAGTAAATAATTATTCAACAGTTTCCTCAAGAAAAAAATCATATTATAAAATATTACAGATGTTTGACTGTGGCTATTCATCTTCTGGACCTGTTTGCTTTCAAATCAATCAAAAATATTCACCTTTCAAGTTCAGACATGAGCGTTAAAAACTATACCCTGTCCCCAGAAGCCAGTCAACATACCTCTCATGCATATAATCAACTCCAAGCAACAACTGGATAAACCATTCTACTATCTGGTTTTCAGGAAAGATTTTCCCGACTTCTTTATATTCCTGAATTTTATAGTCCAGATCTCGGCCCTGAAACAAAAGAACATAATCTTTCATATTTTTAATAGGTAAAATTTTAATACCAAGTTCTCCCAACAATGTAAGGCAAGCAAACCCAAGATGTAGTCATCTAAGGAGATACCAAGATGGATGACCTAGATGGGACCAGCCCCTCTGGGGAAATGAAAACTGAATGTTCTGCACATCTTAGAAGTCATCTAACTCTGTTGTCCTATCAACCAAAAGACCACTCGTCTTCCTGAAAACATAGTCACTCCCACAGAAATCCAAACAGAGCTCTTATTCTTTTTTGGTTTTTTGTTTGTTTGTTTTTTGTTTTTGTTTTTGTTTGCTTTTTTTGTTTTTCAAATAGGGTTTCTCTGTGTAGCTTTGCACCTTTCCCGGAACTCGCTTCGTAGACCAGGCTGGCCTCGAACTCACAGAGATCCGCCTGCCTCTGCCTCCTGAGTGCTGGGATTAAAGGTGTGCGCCACCACTGCCTGGCGAGCTCTTATTCTTATTGTCAGCAGTTACCAAGTAAAATCTGCCACTGTTCCTCTAGTTCACGTCCATCTAACTGGGTTTTATCTTTGCCATCAAGCAAGGAAAAAAAGAATTATATAATGGAGAAGTGTTATTAGGTGCAACACAAATCTGGATGACATCCCCTGAATCTGTGTTCATATAAGACTAGAAATAACTTTCCTAGTACCCTAACTTTGCATACAGAACCCTAACATAAGTGAAAGTTAAAAATGGAAGACAGTAAAATTCAAATCAGAGATATTAATTGACGTTTTCCTGAAATGAAATTGGTGTTGGCATGGCACACTAGCACTGGCTGCTATGGGAGATTCTTTTGAATTTTAACTTAAATTTGTTTTATTATTAATGTGTGTATAAATGAGGGGTATGTGTGGTATAGCTGGAGGTCAGAGGACAATTTCCAAAGTAGACTCTGTCCTTCCACTGTGGGGTTTGGGGATTGAACTCAGGTCATCAGATGTGTGGGGCAAGTGCTTTTCCTCACTGAGCCAACTTGCAGTCCCAGGTCATTTTGATGCTGACAGTGTCTTGGAATGACTGAGTTTCCCCTTCTCTATTAAACTCCAGCAAACCCCTCGGGAATACAGTGGCTGGTGGTGAGTGCATGGTTCTGAATACAACAGGGAAGCATTTAGTCCCTCACATGTTGGTGAAAGGTAAAAAATTAAAATTAAGGCCTGAAGTTGACAATGTCTCGATTTGCCTGGCAGTGTCTGATGTGACTCTGATGACAATATGTCTTAATATATTTTAATTACCACAGAAAATAAAACGCAGAGTATTAAATTTTCTTAGAGAAACCATATACCTCAAAACTTTACCATTAAAACACTGAGAGATTAAAGCTTGCTTGGTATGTGTCCTCAGAAGAAAAAGGCCAGAAAAAAATGCTTTTGTGGATGTGAAGCACAGGTCCCCTGGGGAGTGCAGGAGGTACCTGCCATGGCCATGGGACCATAAGAGCAAAATGAAGCCACACACAGACTAGGCCGAGTCCTTCTCAGATGCAGTGCAAAGGTATTTCTAGCCAATGGGGCAGTCGGGAGAGATTAGTTGTAATCAAACAACACATGGCCAACCGACTAACTGCTTGTAATACAGTTTTTAATTTCCTTCCAGTGCAGTGTGCAAATACTTGCTAAGCACTTTCTCTTTCCAAACTACGATATAAGAAGTCCAAAGCATATCAAACATTCACATGCAGCCTTGATGAAACCGCCTTCTAGATTTCTGGATTTTCTAGGCCAAGGAGATCAAAGCTTCTTGGAATTAAAAAATACAGTGAATTAATATTTAACTCTTAGCAAGAAAAAGAGAGAGAGACCAGTTCCCCCATCTTTCTCCAATGTGCTTCTCCAGCACTCACTTTCCACCCTTGGCATGTCTCAGAGTTCTGCCACAGCACACAAACTGTGCAGTAATAGTATTTCTGCAGGTTATACAAATTATTTTTGACAGTCGATCATTGCAGCATCCTAAGGAGTGGATGAGAAAGCTCTTCAGACAAAAGGTAGCCCATATCTACTACACTGTCTCTATTGTCAGCTTTATATTCCCATCCAAGGACTCTAACTGGATAATATCTAAAGGATATTCTGCCTGTGGTAAACATTTCTAATGTCAGAAAAACAGTGCTTCACCTCCTGGGGAGGGAGAGAGAGAGGGAAGGAGAAATGGACAGATGGATGGAACCTAGAAAAAATATGAGTGAGGGGCGAGCGTTAGAATTCAGTTGGTAAATTGTTTGCTGTGCAATCCTGAGGACACACGTTTGAGTCCCAAAATGTACATGAAAAATCAGGGGATGGTGGTAGGTAATTGCAATCTCAGTCCTGGGGCAGTAGAGCCAGGTGGGTCCCTGGGACTTAACAACCAGCCTGACCTAACAGGTGAGTTTCAGGTCAATAAGAGTCCCTAAAAATAACAAGGTAAAGGCTTTAAAGAACAGGAGGTTGTCCTCTGGCCTCCAAACACACACACACATGAACACTGCATACACACAGGTATGCATGTACACTGCACACACATACAAGCATGCATACTGCACACACAGGCATGCATACTGCATACACAGACATACACACTGCATACACACAGGCATGTACATTGCACACACACAGGCATGCACACTGCAAACACAGGCATGTACACTGTACACACACAGAGACACGAAATATTGACACTAGCTTCTTATATATTTCCAATATTTAGCACTTTAGAATGGCCAACATAAGTATAGCTGTCTTCATAAATTTGGCCTTCAAATATGTAATTGCCTATCTCACTTATAATAATATTGAGATTTCAAAAATTTATCTGTGAATTAAAATAGCATTCCTTTTAGGAATTTATTCTCAAACTACAAGTTCCTATTGTTGTTGCAGAATATTCCTTTATACTATGTGAAGAAGTGTCACTGTGACTGGTTTAATGAAGAGCCAAATGGTCAATGGCTAGTCAGGAAGAGGGTAAGCCAGAGTTCTGAGGACAGAGAGGTCTCAGGGAAGAAGGCAGAGTCCCCAGCCAGATGGAAGGAAAGCAGGCTGGGCAATACAGAGTAAAGGTAACCAAGCCATGTAAAAGAACATAGATTAAAGGATATGGGTAAATTTAAGTTATAAAAACCAGTCAGGAACAAACCTAAGGTAAGGCCAAGCTTTCATAATTAATAATAAGTCTCCATGTCATTCTTTGTGAGCTGGCAGCCCAAAGGAAAAAAAAATCTCTCTACATATTGTCATTATAAAACCATGCCATTTGAATACGAAGCTCTACCCACTCATGGCGTCTGCACTGTCTTCTGTGAGAGTGAGCATAATTGTTTCCATGGTGACACTGACTGCTGCTCTGCCATTCATCTCCCACCATTAAAGCCAGGGCCTCTCAAATGCTAGGCAAACCCTCTCCCACCATTAAAGCCAGGGCCTCTCAAATGTTAAGCAAACCCTCTCCCACCATTAAAGCCAGGGCCTCTCAAATATTTGGCAAACCTTCTCCCACCCTTAAAGTGAGGGCCTCTCAAATGCTGAGCAAACGCTCTCCCACCATTAAAGCCAGGGCCTCTCAAATGCTGAGCAAACGCTCTCCTACCATTAAAGCCAGGGCCTCTGAAATGATGGGCAAACCCTCTACCACAAAGGTGCATCCCCAGGCCCTACTCACACTTCTCAAATAGCAGAATTTACATGCCCATTTCCTGCATTGATATTCAATGTATGGATTCTTGTGACTATACAAGATATATTTGTATTATTGAGGAATAAATTGGAAAAGCAACCTCTGAAATAATTAGGCCTGAAAGTGAAATTCTAGAAGGAGCTATGCAAACCTCTCTTCATTCTCTGGGTTGAATCATAAGAAGAAATGTTGTCAGTTCTCACTACAGACTTAACCAAGAGACTGCTCAGTCAGCATGAAGATAAGACACCAAAACCCTAAGCCCAAGATGATAGTCTTAAGTTACTCCACAGCCTTTTATTTTCATTTTCTTAAATTTCTCTCTGAGGAAAAAAAAAACTATTGTTTTGCATTCACCATGTTCTTTAATAAGCACTATGTATATTACCTCCTGAGGATGTGGGTGAGGTAGGCAAGTCATTCACAGATTAAGACACTTATGCTTCTGTATCACAAAGAAAGAAATGCAGCTTCCGTGAAACCATCTGATTTTAACTCAGCAATGTGGGAGCCTTTCTTTCTTTTTCTAAACTTACCACCTAAGTAAACTCCAATTCATTTCATAAAAGGTCACAAGCTCTTATTGCTTATCCTAAGTTTTGGTTTCTCAACTTTGTCCTTGAGAAATGTTTAATGATGACTTTCTCACTAAAACAAACTTCAGTAAAAAGAGAATGGACTTGAACTTGAGCCAATATTAACGCTGCCCGTCATTGATGCTACAGTCAGAAAGATGCTCTGCCACTAATGTCGCCTCTTAAAGTTACACAAAAAGCCTTGATGTGCACTTCTTAGGTTTTGAAAATCTATAACCCAAACTGTCACGTGGTAGATTAATGGTGTCCTTTCACACTCCATCCCAATTAGCCAACATCAGATGGATTTTGAAACACTGAGACCTTGAAGAAGTGAAGAAAACTCATCTACAGTGTTCTAAACACCATCTTTGATTGCCAGGGACAAGTTTAAATCCCCAATCCACTTTTAAGGCTGTCAACAGAAGTGCTTACAACTACTTCAAAAGACCAAACAGAACGGTCTCAGAAGTCCATACAAGTAAAGTGGAAGTGTTCAAAGAATAGACAAAAGGATCTCTTCAAGGCTAGAAGGAGCACAGAGCATCCTTCTGCCCCACTTCTCCATTTTAAAATGAAAAGTCTGCCCCTTCTTAATTCATTGAGCTAATATCTCATAATGTTGTTCCTTCAACCCCATCACATCTTCAATAAATAAGCATTTGTCTGGTATACTTCAAAGTTTAGCATGTAACAGAATCATTTAAGTTGCTTGTTTAAAATGTTCAATCT